CGCGCACGTGACGGTCCCGGTGCCGCCGCCGCCATGGCCGCCCGCCTGCTGCCCGTTGTCAAGTGAGTCCCGCGGGCCCTGCCCACCCTCCCGGCCCGGCCCGGCCCGGCCCGGCCCGGCTCGGCTCGGCTCGGCTCCCCCGCACCCTCCGCACGGCGTTCCCCCCGTGCTCCCCGCGCCTCAGTGCTCAGCGCTGTCCCCGGCCCGTCCCCAGGCCCGCGGCCGGCCCTGTCCGTGGCTCTGCTGGCTTCACTGCACGCCCTTGGCCTCGCCTGCCCCCGCAGCTCCCCGTGTGTGTTCGTACACGCCGGGAGGGCCCTGCAGCTCCCTGTGGGCGGACATGGACGCGTAACAAAACCCGGGAGTAGCGCGGGGCTCGAGCTGCTCGTACACCCACAGGAAGTGCGGAAGGGTATCCTTGGGAGCCAACAGTGCATTTTAGCAGAAAAATCGCTTTTCCCCGAAATGCGTGTGAATACACGACTTTAAAAATTGGTTCGCTCTTGTCAGCTCTATTGTATCTGTCCTACTACTGCAGTACCGCTGTCTGCCAAGTTTTGGGTTGTACAATAACTTTGGCTGTTTTTTTTAAAGGGAAAACATTCCTCTGTGTATCTGAGAAAGTCACTTACCTCCGATCTCTTATTTAGAATGGAAATGCCAATAAATGCCAAATACTCTCTTCCCGTCTTCCCTTTTGTAGGTTGCCATCACAGCAGTAAAACTGGTAACTGCACATCATGCAGGAAACTTTAAAAGCCTTGGCAATGCAAACACCATGGCCAGGTGTTCACTGAGCATAATAAGATCTTGGTATCTGTCAGATTTATTAGATAAATATCAGATTTATCAAGAAGAACCACATTATTAACATGGATGGCTCGCCCACTGCAGAATTCTTTAATTGCTTTCAGCAGAGGAATATGCCAGTGATTCTCAGGCTTTAAAAAGTGGCACATGTTCTTGAGGAACTTGACACTTTCTTATTTTTATATTGAAAACCAACACTGATAAAATGTGAATTAGAAGTAGTTTCAAGGGGCTGACAGGCAGTAGTTGTCCTGGGAAGGCAAGAAACATAGGTAGGTATTTTTCTGCTGATTTTTACCTCCAGTAAGACATGAGATTTCTTTCCTGATACCCTCTTTGGCAGTCACAACCACTGAAAGAGATGCACTGATGGTCAGAACATGAACTGAACTGTTCTGCTTCCAATTCTTTCAGGTTTCTGATCAAAGGAGGCCTGGCTGGAGCTGCTGTGTACGTGGCACATGACCAGGGGCTGCTGGGCAGTGGCATAGAAGGTGCTGAAGCACTCAGAAAAGCTCAAGAAACGCTGCCTCCAACTATCCAAGAGTGGACAGATTACCTGGGCTGGGAGGTAAGGGCTGCTCGGGTGATCCCTGCAACACAAACATCTCTGAATCAGGAAGAGAAAATATAGGGGTGATATTCTGATTCTGGTGAGCCTGGCAGGAGTTTTACTGCTGAAACTGGATTTCACATTGCAAATATTTTGAAGAGGATTGAAATGGAAGGCAAATAAAATGCTAAATTTGGGGCAGAGACATTGCTCACAGATGTTATTTCAAAGGAGAGGGGTAAGCAGCCTATGCAGGGTCAAGGGGGGGAATTGCAAACATGCTCTGGGAGGTATTTCACTATGTAGTTTTCTTCTGAAGGATCCTACTTGTTTTTAAGAAAAACAATGAAAATATTATCCTCCCATTTTTTCACATTGCTAACAACTCAAGTTGAATTTAAATTGCTTGAAGAGGCCCCTCCTCTATGAGTAGCTCTTAGTTTTTAAAATCCTCAGAAAATAAGAAACCTTTGCTTAAAGTTTGAGAAGATTCTTCATATTACAAACAATTATAAACTAACAGAGACACCCAAGGAGATGATTTTTCAGGAGCACCTAAATAACATGTTCTATCTTTTGCACCTACTTTATATTGCAGGAAAGAGCAAAGCCCAGACTTTAAGCATCATGTCTGGTCACTTTTGAGGCTTATGGAGAGTAGGCACACAAGTATTTTTGAGATCTGAGGTCAAGAGGTTTTGCCAAGGTGATGTGAATTCCAAGTGAAACCCCTCAAGTGCTGATATTTTCTCTCTCTTTTTCCTAGCTCCCACCCACTCCAAAAATTGACTTTTCCCTCTCTGCTTACTGGAATAAAGGTAAAATAACTGCTCACTACCTGATTCTGAGCTCAGTCTTTGGCTTTTCAGAAAGGATGAGCATTCCCATTGCTATTATAATTTTAGGCATTTTTGCTTGAATGCCAAAGCCTGTTATAAATACCTAGTAATACACAGGTTTTATGGTGTAGCAAAGAATCTTTATGTAATTGTGGGGAAACACAATCCACAAATAACTGTGACATGTCCAGAACTGTAACTGTGGCAAGGCCAGAAATAAAACAGGACTTAAAGAACTGAGCTCAGTCCTGTAATTGTCTTAGCTCATGTACAGACCCTGAAGTTGGAATTTCTGTGTCACAAATGCTCAGGGTTTAAAGAGATTTACAGTGGTGGTGTTGGAAATCGGGAAATTTGGCTTGAATGATGATCTTGGGGTAATTCTTCTCCGCTTTGCTTGCAGGGGTGCACAGAGTCATGTCTGCCTTGTCTGTAGCTCCCACCAGGGCCTGTGAATACACAGTGGAAGGCTGGAAATACGTGAAGGATCTTGTGAAATGAACAGGATTCTCAGTCCACCGCTCTGGAGGGCAGCTTGGCTGTGTAAGGGCTACAATAAAAGACTTCGGTGGAACTTCCATTTGTATTTGGGTTGGTTTTAGCCTGCAGAGTGGAATAATTGCTTTGTCTTAGCACTGATCCAAGGCTCCAGGAATCACAGATAGTTGTGATGAAGTGATGGCCATGTGCTAAGAACAGCTGTTCTAAAACTTAGAAATGAAATAGATTATCCTGAAGCTGAATTAATCTTGAAGGTGAATGCCATCTAATTCAAACCAAGCCAACAAGAATTAAAAAAAAAAATTAAAAATCCAAGGTTACAGTAAAAGATGCTGTAAAAGATGGCCTAGGAGGATTATAAAAGTACAGGGGAGAGTAACTGATCAAAATTTATCTGCATGAAACCATTTGTTAGCTTGCACTATGCCCCAATTGGCAGACTGTGCACATTTTCGTTTTAATGTGGATGAAAACTTTCACAAGGTCACTTTTCGGTCACAGCCCAAGCAAATGTAAGGAGCACCAGTGGCCTGGAGGGCACCACTTGTAAAATAAAAGTTACAAATTGATTCTGTGTTTTTAACCCTCTTTGATAGGATTGTTACAATTACAGAATGTGCCAAACACAGCTGCAGAACAGGAAACAGCAGGAGGAGAGATGAGTCCTTACAAAAGTCAGGAAGCAAATATAGAACATGAGGATGAAGAAGGATTTACAGTTTTGTTTCCTTTTTTAACAAATAGATAACACGATGAAGCCAACTGCCCATAGATTTCAGAGGATTTGGCTAAGATGCAAATGGCTTATGTTAATTCCTGAAGGATGGGTCCATCAGCAGCTCTTAAACCAGATGGTCCAGAGGAAGCTTCAAGCTCAGTAAACCTTGAGCTCTGTCCTGCAGGTGCCAGATGTTTCACTGCACCCCAGAACCCAAATAGCCTCTCTATTAATGCACCATTTCTTCTCTAACTTTCCAATGTCCACTGCTCTTGAAGGAGCACAACTTGGGTTCCAGGTCTACTCCCCCTTCTCACCAGGCCAAACCTCCCACCAGAGATCCTGACATTCATCTAGTCTTCCTCTCTCTGGCTTTACTACAAACCAAATGGAACCACTTTGGGCAAGGCACACCATGTACAAACAGAACACTGCACCTCTTCTATGCCAAGAACTTAAACTCTCCATGCTTTTCAGGATCTTCTGTACCACTTCTTTGCCCTTTGATGATTGCTATCCAAAGCTTTGTCATCGTAATATGCTTTTTCCATCAATAAATGAAAAAATATCTTCAGGCAACTCATAAAAAACCTCCTTCTCATTAGAGAAGAATTTTTTTCCATCAGAGATGGAAAAGCCCAGTGACCCTACAAATGAAAGTAACAGGAGTTTTTTTCCTCTTGGCATCATAAAAGCCATTTTTAGGGTAAGGTTAAGATCATGTTGCTCCAGAGATGTCTGCATGAAGACAAATTATAACTTGGCTATGACAAAGCAACAGATCACTTGCACCAATCTCAATCATGTCAAATCCTCAACAAAAAATTATGCCAAAGCAGAGCCAGTGGCTGCTTCTAAGGAAATTATGGACTCCTAGGTAAAATTACTGGGCTATAAGACTGGTGGAATTTTGGACTACCCTGATCTATCAGAAGCTAAATAAAGTGATCCTGACAAGCACCTCTGTGCTGTCTCACAGAAGCTATGCTGCTAACACAGAATTTAACTCCTTTTTCAGACATTATGTGTCTGAAATGCTTTTCAGACATTATGTGCAATAGCACATGACACCAGATGAATTCTTCACCACTTGCTCTACAAGCTCCTGTGGCAATTTTGCAGTGGCAGGGCATTCCAGCTTTGGCAGCTGTGATCTGATGTTCTCTCATGGTGGCACATGGGCCATGGTTACATGGGTTGGTAACTGACAGCTGTGAAGAAAAACACAATATTTCACTGTTTCTGAGAGTGCAAAGGGACACCTGTAAGGCATTTTAACACTTCATCTTTGAAACGAAGTTACAGTTTAACACACAGCTGAAGAAATCTGTTTGACAGGGACTGCTGAAACAAAGCAAGTAACTGTAAACTGGCGTTTATTTATGGAAAATGGAATGCTTCATTAACAAACATTTTTAAATGGGATATGAACAACACCTTACAAAACAAATGAGTTCACATTGGATTGAGTGACATAATATGGCAGCAGCTTAAAAAAAATTACACTTACAGTAGCCCATAAGTTACAATTAATGGTAACCCTGGGTAACAGATTTGTTTCACTTGCCACCTTGCATTAAAAACCAAACACAATCAGTAGCGACGGTTGAAACGAGGATCGTTCGGTCTGTTTGCCCTTTCCTGACCAGCAAATCCTTCTCCTTGCATTCCTCCTCCGTGCATGATCTGACTCTGATTGCCACCCTGCATGAAACTGCCACGCCTGGAAAGGGATTCAGACATTTTAGTATTCTCTCATGCTAGTACACTAAGGTTGCTAGAATGGGTGTTCTTTTTGTTTTCACTCTCCCAAAAAATGTACTACATAAAAAACATGGGGATATTTAATTATTCCTTAACATTGAAGTAGCAAATTAGATAACTGATACTCCCATAAAATGTTTCATTGGCCAATTTAAATAGAAGAAATGTCCCTTAACAGGAAAACAAACACTTTGCTCCTTTTAAAGTTCTTACCCTGACATTCCTCCACGATGCATCACATGGCCAGGTCTGCCTCTACCACCACCTAAAAAAGTTCAAATGGTCCCTTTATATCCACAGCAAGAGCTCTACTTCAAGGATAAATAAGGAGCTGTGCAAGAACCATACCTTGCCATCTCTCATGATCCCGTCCTATCATCCCTCCATCCACGCTGCTCTGCCAGGAACGGTCTTGGTGCCCTTCAAACTTCCGACTGTGATCTCCCCAGTCACGTCCATCCCTGTAAAGACAGGAAATTCCCATCATCTCACATGAGCCAGAGCACATGGAGTAGTTTTAATGTTTGAATCTAAGTCACAAACTTACTCAAATGTCTTACCAAGGCTCATGTGAATCTTACAATATTTATACTGCTATCTGTTAAGTAAAGTCTCAGGAGAATTTTTCTGCTCAAACTGACTAACATGATGACTAAAGAAGATATTGAGGGAGAACCACTATCCTGAAAATGGCAAGCTTTGATAGGAATGTTAGTTAAAACGAATGGAAAGCATTATGACTTTAAGATGTGAAGTTATTAAAAAGATCAGGTGAGTGCACGTTTTGATGCACAAGACATCAAATAATTTGTAGTCCATCCAACACACCTTTGGTGAAAGCTGGAAAAAAAAGAACATTTTCCAAAAACTCTGACATATGGAACCACTCTTTAGGTGCAGGAGAAGAGGTGTTTCAGTACTAACCGTGACTGTGGGGGGATCCCTCTGCTCTCACTCATCCTCCTGTCGGAGCCGTAGCTTCCCCAGCTCTCCCGCGAGTCCCGCGAGTGCCGGTCGGGGCCTCCGTGGCGCTCGTCTGGGTAATGCTGGAAGGCACAGAGCTCTTACACAGCTGCTCACTGCTTACACCTCCAATTGCTCCAGCTCACAACCATCTGGGAGGGAGGGAAGGGACCTCCTGACATCTGCTCAGGGTCACCCAGGTCCAGGCTGTCCCAGCTAGAGACTTCACAGGCTCTCCATGCAACCCGTTCCAGTGTTCCCAGCTACAGGGGATTTTAATCCTCTTCAGATGGAACTCTGTTCCAGTCTGTGCTCACTGACTCTTGGCTTTGCAATGGGCACCACTGAGTGGCATGTTGTTACATCTAATCTGCATCCTCCCTCCCATGAGTTATTCATGCACATTGGTAAGATCAGCCCAGGACTTTGCATTTACTGCTCTTGACCTTCAGGATATTTCCATCAGCCCAACTCTCCAAACCTCACAGTAAAGGCCACTGAGGACACTATGACCCATAAAATTCATCTGTCACTGTTTGAATGAGCCCTAAAGGTCTTTCCCCCAACCCTCAACCACAAACATCTCTACAGGTCAGCTGTTACTACCATATAACCTCACAAGAGTGATTTTGTACCTTTGCCTTTTCTATGCAATCTTTTGGAATACTGTATTTTGACACAACTCGCTTGCTTTGATTTCTATAAGAATAACTATATCTAACTTTTATAATAAACAAGTCTTTGAATTGAATTTCATCTTATTGAAGTAAACAAAACAATCTGATTATTCCAGTATTTTTGGGTAGATATAATGTAATTCTCAACTACTGAAATGTAATCTGACAGACACACTATAGAAAACCAGGTTGTAAGATGTAAAGATATTTCTGTAATGCTATAAAGCAACTCACTTGTCCATCCCGATCTCCCATAATTGTTCTGGATCCATCTCTCCTAGAAACAGACAATTAGAATCAGACTGTGATAGTAAAACATACAGCAGTCTATAAAAATCCATTTATTTAACAACACAGATGAAAAATCCTGCTCCCACATCATGCCATATTATCCACAAAAGGCATAAACACCTGGAACATATGGAAAACGTGCCACATTTTGTATTCCTGGGAAACACAGTTAGTCCTAACATCTAAACCAAAACGTTCTTGTTAAAATTCTAGGTACGTACAATATTATTGAGAATTTTTTCAGAATATTACGAATATGTGAAACAGCACTGCAAAAACACTCTGACCAAGCCTGCCAGAAGCTTTAACTCATGGCATAGTACAGATCTTTTCATGATTTTAGAAGAGAAATTCCACAGCCACTAGGTAGCACTTGAAAAATAAAATGCAAACTAAGCACAACTGTGACATGAAGTACATATTTTTGTCTTTTGTTCTCAGGCAGCAGTGGAGGTAAGACACCAACCTGTCTATTGAATGCTCCTGGTAACGCCCACGATCCCTGTGATCGAAGTCATGGAAGCGATCCTGGCGACTGAAGTCTGAGTGGTACCTGTCATTCATGGCCATTCGTTTTGCCTCTGGCCAGTACGGATCATCCCTCCTGAAAGAAAGAACAAACTCATTTCAGCCCAGATAACAAATGCCTTTTGATATTGTTTCTCCTTCCAAACCAAAAGAAGGAAAATTAAGCTCAAAAGGGTGTTGAAAAACCTGGGCTGTTAAACACGACCATCTCAGTGCAACCAACAACTGCTGAGAGCACGTGTATGACTTTTCCAGTCCAGGCACATGAGACAAAACATGGCAGTGCCATTTCCCACTGGCATCATCAGGATTTGGTGGCTTTACCTGCCATCTATGTCATAGGGTCTCCTCATGGCAGAGCGCCGCTCCTGCTCGTAGCGCAGCTGCTCGTGCTGGCGCCGCAGCTCCTCCCTCTCACGCTGGATCCGGTCCTGCTCCCTCCTCCTCTCGTGCTCGATGTGCATCCGTTCCCTTTCCAGCCTCTCCCTCTCCATCCGTTCCCGTTCCAGGCGCTGCCTTTCGATTTCCAGCCTCTCCCGAGCGATCTCCAGCCTCTCCCTCTCCTCCCGCTCGCGGATGGTCTGGAGGTGCTGCTGCCGCTCCCGGCGCTCGCGGGTGCTGTTTGAGC